TTACTTTGCTTCTCGTCGGGCGGAGTACCCCCGCCACAAGCATCCCACACACACACACACACAGACATATATATATACACACCCACGCGTGCATGCGTGTGTGTGTGTGTGTGTGTGTGTGTGTGGGCATGAAGGTATCTCTCCACAGGTTCCGCTTACAGAGGCACAAGCCACCGGGTATGTCTCCAGAAGCAAGAAGCATCAAGCAAAACAGAAAACGCGCGGAAGTAGAAGAAATACAACCCACTAAGTGCAACAAGAACAACAACAGCAACATATATACACACGCTCAGAAAAGAAAAGAAAAAAGAACGTGGCGTGAAATGAAAGTTATTCGTCGCCTTCGTGGCCTGCGTCCAAAGGGGTTTCAGTTGTGTTGTGGGCTACAAGTTATTTCCCCCCGCCCCCCGCTCCTCCGTCCGCGCCGCCGCACAAACCAAACGCACACACACACACACACGCGTCGCCGGGGCTTTATTTGTGGCCCGCCTCCCAGCGCATTTCCCTTCGGCGTGCGGCGCGGAGGAGGGAGGAGGGAGGAGGGAGGAGGGAGGGAAGCCGCAGAGCCTCACACTGCAGACGCGCAACCAGCGCGACACCACGCGCGAGACGCCCCGGTGCCGCATTCCTGCGCAGCACACACACACATAGAGAGAGAGAGAAGGAAAAAAAGGAAAGAAAAAAAAAAGAGGAAAGAAGAGGCAACCCTCCTCTCCCCCGCCTTTTCCCCTGCCCAAATGTACCGGACGTGTGAGAGGGCGTACGTAAAAACTTCCACGGCGTAAAGTCAAAGAAAAAAAAAAAGGAAGGAAAGCTGCTCCTGGAACAAACAAGCACACACACACACACAGTGGGAAAAATAACACGTAATATTTCATTAAAACTCTTCGTTTTTCTTTTGTTTGTTTGTTTGTTTTTTGTTGTTGTTTTTTTTTTCTGCGTCTTCGTTCCTTTCGTCTTCCGTGGAAGGAGGAGGAGGGCGGCGGCGGCGGCGGCGGCGGCGGCGTTGGCGGCTGCGCCTCCTCCCACTGCGCAGACCCCGCCCCGTCTCTGTTCCGCCTCGCCGCCGCCCTCCTCCACCGCCCCGTCGGGAGAAGAAGAAGAAAAAAATGTGCCTCTCCCTTCAATATGAATTAAAACATCATTTATGTTTATACACGTATGTATATAAACACACACGTCTTTCTTTCCCTCCCCTCCTCTCCCCGTCCCCCGCCCGCCCGCCCGCCCGCCCGGCCTTTGTCTTTGCTTCACGTCAACAACTCATGCATAAAACAAAACAAAAGAAAAAAAAAAGGCGATGCGAACCAAATGAAAAGAAAAATAAAATAGCTGGAAATATTGCCTCCACTAACAGCTGCACTCTCACACCTACCTACATACACGCACAGACACACGCACACGCACACGTGTGTGGTGACGTCATTATTTACGTGTAACATGCAGCACCAGCGTTTATAGTGTTTCTACAATAATACCACACACAGATTTCATCGTCGTTTCAAGCAATACTCCCCACGCATGCAACGGGCAACGCAGGCCTATTTCCGCGCACAGACACAGTCGCAGACACGTCTGTGCATGGAAGCATAGGCGTTTGTATAGATGTAGAGATATACAGGAAACGTTTCACGTGGAGAGCGTGGTGTCAGTGGGACTGCGAGTCTTCTGCGCCTCGGTCCACAAGGGTACATTGTCAGTGATAATCGCATCAATCATAAAGACGCGCGACTGGACGTAGGTAAACTGCTCATCGTTGTTCATCTCTCCCCAGGACCATATAAGTTGCTTGTGGGCATGCGCGTAGGCGGCGATGGCCTTGCCGCGGGAGCAATCAAACGTGGCCCACTGCGCCTCGCGCGGGTCGGAGATTGTCGGATCGTTGCTGTCGTCATTGGCAGCATCTTTGATGCCGTTTTCTTGTATCCCATCTGCCTTCAGTGCGGGCTTGGGGCTCTGCTGCTGCCCGTTTTCGATCTCCAGCCGCAGCGAGGCGGGCTGCCGCGGCAGGCGCGGGACGCTGCGGGTGCTGGGGATTTTCATCTGCTCGTTGGTACACAACGACGCGGCGAGGATGGAGACCCCGGAGAGGTGCATAAAAACGGAGAACTGCAGGGCCCCCTCCACAAGCCCGAAGCAGCGGTAGTCCTTGAAATCCTCCGAGAGCTCCGTGTCGCAGAGAAACACGACGTCGAAGCGGCTCTGCTTCATCTTGAGCGCGAGGCAGACGTCGGGCTCAAAGCTGCTGAAGATGACGTCGCGCGGCCGCTCCGTCGCGTCCCCCCGCTCATCCCGCACGCTCTGCCGCTGATCCGCGAAGGCGAAGACGACGCGCAGAATGTCATCCACGAAGGCGTTCACCTCAAAGGCGTCCGTCTGCAGAAACAAGTTATTGTCCCCAATCGGTTGAAAGGGAAACTTCACCTCGAGGTCGAAGCGCAGCGTCGCCGGGGTGCTCTCAAAAAGGTCCTCCAGAGTGCAAATGCGGTTCGTCACGTCCTCCTGCTGCGCCAGAATCTGCCGCTTGTGTCGCCGTAGCTCGTTGTAGTCCTCCCCCTGTGAGCCGGCGTGGCCCTTCTTCGCCCTTGGCATGCACCCGCTAAACTCGCCTTCCCCCTCGCAGGGCTGAATCTCGTGCCTTAGCATGTAATCCAGCCGCTGCCGGTTGCGTGAGACGCGGATGATTTGGTTCCAGTGCCGCAGAATCAAATTGCGCAGTGTGTTGTGCTCCTTCACGTGCGAAAAGGTCTCCGTGGTCACCACGTCCAGCTGCCGCTTTGTCAGCTGATGCAGGGCGATGGGGACGGAGGCGAAGTTGGGCATGTTTTGCGAATACAACTGAAACATCAGCGAGGGCATCCGTTCAGGCGAGCCGGCGACGCCCGGCAGAGCGGAGGTCTCAGGGGCGGCAAAGTCTGCCTGCTGGTTGTTGTTGTCGTTTTTGTTGTAATGCCCGACTAAACCGTCCATCAGAAAGACGGGGCTGCTGCCAAAGTCCACCGAGGCGCCGACCGACAACCGGCGCTCCACGCGGCCGTTGCGGGTTCCGGCCCCGCGCTTCTTCCGTGCCTGCAGCTGAATGAGTGGGTCGTGAAATATGACCGGAATGCGGTCCCGCGTGAGCATCACGTCAAACTCCACCATGTCGCAACCCCGCCTGTGGGCCGCGTTGATGGCCTCCAGACTGTTCTCCGCCAGCTTCACGGTGAGGCGGTGCTTCCGCACAGGCTTCGGCGCCGTAGAGGACGCGGAGGCGGCGGGGTCCTCCAGCGACTCAGACAAGTCTCTCCGCGTGTACGTCTTGCCAAGTCCACGGTGGCCAACGGGCTTCTTCGTCGCCAGACGGCCCAGTGAGGAGAGCGAGCGAATCACCTCCAGCGTGGTGCGCTGTGGGTAGTGAAAGGGGAAGACAAACAGGTATTGGGCGTAGACGGTTTGCCAATAGGCCATCGGAGCGCCACCGACGCCGGTGTTGGCTGTGTCCATGAAGCAAATCGGAATGACGAGGTTGCCGCTGGTGTGGTGCTTAAACAACGGGGGCTGCAGGACGGCGATGCCCTTCACCCACCGCACCCCCACCACCACCGCACGACAGGCGTGGCTGCTTATGCTCGTCTCACCGCTGTTGTTGCTGAGGTTGCCGTCGCCGCGCTCCATGTCAAAGGCGTGGTGGCACGCGCAGCACTCCGCCGAGTTGACTGTCGAGGAGGAGTCGGGAGGCGGCGAGGATGTCGTCATGTTTGAGGCCGCGCCGCCGTCCGCGCCGCCGTCCGCGCCGCCGTCCGCGCCGCTGAACCCGTAAATAGGCACCGGCATCATGGCCTCGATCTGCAGTCCACGCCCTTTTAGCGGCGCCACGTTGACCGTCGAGTGCCACACACGCATCGTATACTGTGCATCGCCGGGGGTAAAGGGGCGCACGGGGTCGATGCCGTGCAGCGGCTCCACGCACCAGCCACGCCGCATAACGGCGGTGGCGGCATCCTCGTGCGGGGCTTGAGAGCTTCCATTGGAGAGAGGGCGTTGCTGCTGCCGCTGCCACGGCGGGCAATAACTATACCCGTGATCCGCGGAGCCGATCGAGGCCACCGACGGACTCTCAGATTCCCCTACTTCTCTGCCTGTGAAGTGGTGCTTGTGCTGCTGCAGCGACGGCTCACGCCCATTTTCAGACCCCTTCAGCTGCTTCCGCCGCTTTGTGACCTGCTTCACTACCTGCTTCTGCTTTTCCATGGGGGCCGGCGTCGGCAGGTGCCCCTCGCACCAGCAACTGCCGTCGCAGAGCACAGGGTAGACGTCCTCCACCTCGAAGCAGGAGGAGGGCAAGAGTGGGTCGGCGCCAGGCGCGCCGCCCCCGTCTGGCTGCTGCGTTTGCGCACGCTGCAGGTACATCATGGTGTCGCGCATGTGTGGGGGCAAACTGTCTAGCCACGCCTCGCGTTCAAAGCGCGCCCGCGGGTCGTTCGCGTACAACGTCAGTGAGAGGAGCGGCCCCGCCCTGGGCACGGGGCTCACCGCCTTGTCCACCCCGCACAGCTGCGACAGAAACGGGAACTGCTTTGAGGCCCGGGTGAAGTGCAGGATGCGGCCGTGCAGGTTAATGTCGGCCTTCCAGCTTCCCTCTTCGGCGTCGGCCACGAGCGGCACGGTGTCCGGCCCCCAGTGCGCGTTCTCCACGGCGACGATGGCGGCGCCGGGCGTGATGCCGCCCACGATGCCGGGAGCCACGGCACACGTCGTCGCAGAGGCCAAGGCCGCGGTCATCGTAGCGGCAACCGCGCGCAGCAGGGGTTCATCCACAATCACCAGGCGAAACCGCAACTGCGGCGGCGCCGCCACGCAGGACGCTGGCACACGCACGGATGCCGTGAATAAAACAGGCTCGGCGCCTGCGCCCCGGCGCGTTTCAGTCTCGTCGTCGGTAGCCAAAACCGGCAGTGTTTGCTCAAGCAAAAGTGGGGCCGTCATCCCCCATCCGCCCATCTCCTCCGCATCACTCACAAGCGCCAGCCGCAGCTGATCCGTGGCAGGTGGAAGGTAGCGCTGCCGCTCCTGCAGCTGCTCCCTCGTGAACGCCGACGTCGCGTAGGGGCGGTTGCCCCGCGGCTGGGCCGCACTGAAGCGACTGAACTCGGCGGCAATGGCATCAGCCCGGAGACCGGAAAGGCGCACAACAATATTTGCATAGACCGACGCCGCAGGCATGTTACTGGACCCTCTCCCGCCCAATCTGCAAAGGGTTCAGGCAGCGCAAAAACGGGGGCCGGGTGGGTGGGGGAACAAAAAAAAAAAGGGAAGGAAAAGAAAAAAGAAAAGACGTGTGCTACACCTGCGTGGAGTGACCCCGCAACTCCGCGTGGTACTTCACTGCCGTCCCCTTCCCCCTCCCTCCCCTCTTTTTTTTTATTGATGGCTTTGCACTACCCCTTTCCGACGCGCACGCGCAAAACAAACACACACGCAAGCACACAGCCACGGGCTTCCCCACCGTTTAAATGAAAAAGCAAATGGAAAAAAAAAAAGATATTTCGCAAAAGGGATTGAACGGGGGGAAAAAAAAAAACACACACACACACGCCCACGCACGCAGTAATAAGAGCAAAAGCAGGGGGCAACCGCCATTCCCAGCACACGCACATTCATCACGTGGACGCAACATCCCTTTTTCAAGGAACACCGGTCGATTGTTCGTTTGCTTTTTGTTTGCGTGTATCGCTCTGCTATGCGTGCCCTCCCTCCTCCTCCTCCTTTCAGAGCCGTAGAATAAGTTTGTTTGTTTGTTTTTTGCTTGTGTTTACCGTTCACTACGCACAAGAGCCAAAGGGGGCTTCGCAGGCACACACGCACAGGTGCTGTTACAAGAAGACTTCCAACGTGGTTTCAATGGGGGTGCGGCAGACGGGGCACAGCATCGCATCTGCCAGACGGTCCTTGTAGCGAAGACTGCATGCACTACAGAGCACCAAGTGGCGGCACGGCAGCAGCACGACATTCCGCTCCGCCTCCGCACAGATCACGCACCTGCCGGTGAGGTCCGTATCGTCGGCGTGGGAGACTAACACCCAGGCGTCGGCGTTGCTGTTGTTGTTGTCGTCGGAGGTCGCGCTCCGCGCGGCTCCCGTCACTGGGCGGCCGACCAGGAGAAACCCCGTGTCCCGCTCCAGCTCCACCGGGTCCACGAACAGAGCCTGCCGCTGCATGGGGGTCGCAGAAGCTCCAGCACTGAAAGGTTCGACTTTCCGCGCCACGGCGACCTCGCCCCCGCCGCCCCTCACACGCGAAAGCGGCGATGCCCTACAATACTCCGTCAGAAGTAGCGTGGCAGTCTGCTGCAGCTCCGTCAGCACGGCGAGGAGGGAACCGTGCTGCCTCCAGCTCCTTAGTGTGCTGAGCATGCAACGGTGGACCTCCCCGCTTCCGCTGTCAATGATAATTTGCGAGAGAAACCTGTAGTTCCTCCGTGTTTCAGGGGTGTTGGTGGTGGCGTTTGTCAGGTACACACGCGGAGGGTCCTCAAAGCTGCTGTCTGCCTCAAACTGGGCACGAAGCGGCAGCCGCATAATAAGCTCGGCTGGCAGCGCCGCGTCCTCAGGCCCGTTGCGGCTCGCTCGCGTGCTGTGGCTGTCAAGGTGCGGGGCGGAGGCGGCGGTTGCCGCGACGCCTCTTGACGGGAATGAAGTGAGGATAAACAGCGGCAGAAACCCCTCCACCCGAAGAGTGGCGCTGTCGTACGTCAAGGCCCCGTCGCAGAATAAGGACAGGTCGCGCAGAATACGCAGCGTGACCTCCCGCCTCTTTGAGCGCAGGCGGAAGAGCGGGAGGCCTTCCGGGACAATTTTTTCCTCATTGCTGGACGAGAGTAGCGGCGGGATGCGCTCAAAGTTGTCCAGGACGGCGCACCGCAGAAAGTCTAGCAGATTGTGATATAACGCATCCGCCTCACTGGGGATGATGGCGGCGGTGGCCGGGTCAATGTACGTGGCGCGGCGATTGAAGAAGAGGCCCCCGAGTCGCTTACGGTCAATGAGGGCCCGGTATCGGGCCGCGGGCGGCGGCGGCGGCAGCAGCGGCGGCGGCAGCGGCCTGCCTGCGGCACGGCCACTGTGCGAGCCCTGCTGGGACCCCGCGGCGGCGGTGGGCTTGCAGAGAATGATGATGACAGGGGTGTCGTACACACTGCCCTTGTAGGTGTACGGCAGCAGTCCGCGTATAATGTACGCGTGGGTGCTTTCTGTAAAATCAAAGCCGTTCCCGTACAGGCGCCGGAAGGCCTGAAGGTCCAACGGAAGCGACGACCGCGCCCCGAGGTTGCGCGTGTTCCGCGAGCCGTCGCGCCTCGCCTTGACCATGCCACTCATCCCGGAGACTTCGCTGCCTGCGAGTGTGGAGCGCGGCCACGACGTTCGAGGGCTGGCTTCGCAGTCCCCGTCGCTGTCGACCTTCAACGCGCGAATTGCGTCGCGCACCGACGACGGTGTCGGCACAGAAACAGGGGTAGACGACTGCGGCGGCCGCGGCGGCAGCCTCCGCGGCAGCGACTGGCCGGCGGCCTCCTCGTAGGCGCGTAGCATGGCAAGGCACTCCTCCTTGCTCGCCCTGTCCGCAGTCGCCGCCTCCGCCAGGTCGCGAGGGTACTCCATGAACGCGTTTGGCTTCAGTGGGGGGTGGCGGGAGAGGAGGTACGACAGGAGCTCCGGCGAACAGTTGGAGGCGGCGGTGTGCACGCAGGTGTTGCCCATGCCCCCGCAGGGAATCCCCAAGTCGGCGTTGAACTCGCCAACGAGCATCTGCACCGTCTCGAGGTGGCCGCACTTGACAGCTGTACTCAGCAGCGTGTACTGCGAGCCGGAACTGGGGACGTTCACACGCTCCGGATGCTGCCGCAGCCATTCCCGCAGTGCCGCCGTATTGCCGCTCGCCGCGTCCCGAAACTCCATCTGGCCGACGTGCTCTTCTCGTCGCTGCTGTTGTTGCCGTTGTTGCTTTGCCCGCTTCTCCTCTAGTGACCGGTGGTGCTGGGCGCGCCGCTCCTCAGCCCCTCCCACCCACCCACCCACCCCTCGAGCAGATGTCGCCCCCGCGTAAGCGGCACGGAGGGGAAGCAGGACAGAAAAGCAAGGCGCGGCGGCCCAGGCGCACAGGCAGAGAAAGGAAGAAACATATAAATATATAAACATATATGTATAGCAGGAAATAAAAAGACACGACGCAGCCTCCGTCGCCGTAAGCGCGCGGAAACGGCAGCACCATGCATGCAAGGCAGGGGCGCGGCATCGAGTGTGAGGGTGCCGCAGAAAATAAAAAGAAGGTAAGAAAAAAAAAAAGCTAGGGCGAGAGAAAATAAGAAAAAAAAAAAGGGGGGAAGGAGACAGG